GGAGGGGATGTCCTGTGCTGCCCTCCCTTCTCCAGCTGTCTGACCCCGAGCTCCCCGGCCTGGGTCCTGCTATCTGTCCTCCGTATGTGGACAGTCTAGTGGGGATCCTTCCCATCCCACTCACATTTCAGTGGAGGGCACTCTGCACTGTATTCTGCCTGTGACTCCAGGTGAGGGACAGGTGTTCCAGGCAGACGGGGTCCAGGCCAGGAAGGAAAGATGGTTTCCATGCCACCTAATCTGGTGACGGTGGTTCCGTGCCAGCTATGTCCTCTCCTACTTCAGACCCTCCGACGTCATTCCCATCTCCATCACTTTATGCGAAGTTGAGGACAGCCACGGCAGATGTCAGACAGAGCTGCTGCATTCCTCACACCTTTACTGAACACCTGCTGTGGGCCGGGCACAGTCCCGGGCTCTGGGGACACCACGAACCAGCAGCGATCCCGGGGGAGGCCTTCCTCGCTCTAAGCCCATCTGGACGCAGCTCCGCTTCAGTCCTGACTCAGCCTTTGCTTTCCTCTAGGGCTGCGGTTCTCAACCTGTGGGTCGCAGCCCCTTTGGGGATCGAACCACCCTTTCACAGGGGTTGCCTAAGACATAACAGTAGCAAAATTACAGTTATGAAGTAGCGACAAAAATAGTTTTATGGTTGGGGGTCACCACAACATGAGGACTGTATTAAAGGGTCGCGGCACTAGGAAGGTTGAGAAACACTGCTCTAGGGGATGCAGCCCAGCCCAGAGCCCATGCTTGGCTGGGGTCCTCACATCCTGGGGAGCTGCTGCCCACCTCTCCCTGAGGGCCACCTCTGCTCCTGTACCTCTGGCACCAGCTGGGGTGCTACACAAAAGCACGGGGAACCCGTCCCTGAGTCAGACACACAGCTGGGAGTCTGCAGAGCGGAGGAGCTGTGCTCTGGGCCTGCCTTGCCTTGCTGGGCTCGGAAATGCTGCTCGGTTTCTAGGTGACAGCCTGCTTCTTGGAACCTGTTACGTGGACGCCCATTCAGACCACGCGAAATGTGGCTCAACATACGAGGTGCAGGAGGACATGGGTTTGATGTGAGGCCCGGGCCTTGTTACTGTTATACACAGGCACCAAATCAAGTCTGCTCCCCGGTCAGAAGTCCCACTCTCTGGAAAAGTGCCACTGGACGCCTCCCTCATGAGGACCCCAGCTGGCAGGGATGGACTGGACAGTCGAAGCCCGGCTCCTCTCTGGGTGGCCGCTGGACTTTCCCGGAGGGTGGGTTACCCTCAAGTTTTACTTCCGATCAAGGAAGTGGAGTTGAACCTCTTCAAGATCACCACCGTCATGGCCATCACCATCACTGCCATTATCATACAATCAGTGAGCATTTTGTGTGTGGCCAGTACTAGACTGAGATTTTATGTACATTTTTATTTTTTTATTTTTTCATTTAATTCTCATGGCCACCCTCCAGAACAGACGTTATTACCCGACTCTTACGGCTGAGGAAATGAGAGCTCAGAGAAGTTAAGAAATTTTCCCAAGGTCACAGAGCTAGAAAGTGGATGCAACTGACTTCAGATCCAGCTCTGCCTAATTCCAGGGCCTGGGCGATTTCCACTAGGCCAGGCTGGGCCACACAAGCCCCCGTTTCCCGAGCGCCTGTGTACCAAGTCCTGTGCTAGGTGCTCATTTCTGTGAATGCTTTCAGTGGCTTTCGTGAGTAGTTGCTATTATTGCCAATTTATAATTGGAGGCGGGTGCACAAAGGTTAACTCATTTCCCTGACGCCACACGGAGCTAGTGGAGGTAAAGCCAAGTTCAGACTCTGGGCACTTTCTGTTATTCCACATTCAGAAAGGACAGCGACAACCCAAGCTCAGCAACTGATTTCACTGTATCCCAATGATGCAAATAAGCTCTGTCTCACCGGCCCAGTCTGAGGTCCTGAAATACCAAGGAGGTCGTCCACAGAGAGAGGCATCTGCTACCTCCTGGGCTTGTTTCACCCAGAAATCTATTTGGGGATACTCAGTAGTGATGGACAGCTGTTTCCTCTGACTCTAGATCAGTGAGGAACACGGACATAACGACTCAGAGAAACGTTAGGTGAAAGGAATGTTTACAGTAACATTTGGATGCTTCCATTATCCATTCATGTGTAGAGCAAATACTAGAGTCCGGAATTACAGGTTTGAAGAGTCTCTTCTCTGAAAGCATCTGTAATTTAACTGAAGGTGACAGATATAGAAACAATGATGTGGGAGCTGACTTCTACTCCTGTTTCTGCTTCTAATCTGTAATGTGATTTTCAGTAGATTTAACCTCTGCAGACTCTGAATCTGCAGTATAAAATCAAGTCAACTAGATAATGTATCTATCCACCCTCCTTCCTACTATTCCTCCCTCCACCCCTCCCTCTCTCCTTCCTTCCTTCCATTTCTTCATTGTTCAAGGCAGTATCTATGCATATTTGTCTTGAGCAACTAAGTGCTAAAATGAATAATATGATGCAGCCCTTTCCTGGAGGACTCAGTTGAGAGGGAGGACAGACACTCACCTATCTGTATATTAAGCCACTTGCCCAGAGCCGAGCCAGGATTGGACACACGAGTTGGCCTGACTCTGAGGCCTACGCACTGCCCTTCTGCTGAGAGGTCCATTTCTCCCAGTACAGGTTCCTCAAGTCCCCTACTGGACAGCCTCCTACCGCAAGTCAGACCTGCTGCAGCCACAGTACTGAGACCCCCGGGCAGGTCCCACGGTGATCCACGGCACACAAGCAGCAGGCTTGGTGAGTGACCAGAGGACATAAAGGGGTACATGGTCCCTGCTGGCACTGATCAGGTTGGCATAGTAAAGGCACCCCTGAAGCAGGACAGCCACCGGAAGCCAAGCAGCCCTAGCCCCAATCAGATTCCATAATGGGTCCAGTGAGGAAAGGCTAAGTAATATTGCCCTTGGTTGGAATAATATTTATATCTCCAGGAGATTAAAAGAACTCAGGCCTTGGGAAGGCCCACAAGCATACACACAAAATCATGCAACTGAATTAAGAGAGCGGGAAGCTTCGTACCCAGAGACAAAAGCAGCATTTCTGGCCAAGATAAAGGAATAGGTTTGTCCTCCTGCTATGTCTGCTCCTGGCTCTGCCATTTGTCTAGCCTGTGGATTTGGGTTCTCAATATTCTCAGGGTAGTTTGAAGGGTTTGGATTATAAAGTACTTCCATCTCTAAAAAGGTTCAAGTTAGCACTGGCCAGAGTGGCTCAGTTGGCTGAGCATCGCCCATGCACCAGGAGGTTGCCGGCTTGATTCCTGGTCAGAGTACGTGCCTGGGGTATGAGCTCCATCTCCAGTAGGGGGATGGGTAGGGGGCAGCCAATTGATGTTTCTTCCTCTCCCTTCCTCTCCCTTCCTCTAAGTCAGTAAAAACATACTAAAAAAATAAAAAGTTTGAATGCTTTTACACACTCGTGTCATGCCCTTCTGGCTGGGCTCAGAGCCCTCTCTGCTTCACTCTCGGGTCTTGTCCTTGCTCCTGGGAGGAAGGGGGGGCTGGGGAAATCATGGGCCCTGGGGTCCAGTAGGCCCTGGTGTGAATCTGGCTCCATCACAGCCCAGTACTGAGGCCTTCTCCTTGGAGCCCCAGTTACACTCTGGGGATGATACTACTTATGAGGGTGGCTCCCCTGATTCCTTCTTAGGTCCCTGCTCTTCTCCCCGAGCAAACTTCTGTGTGTTTGGGGTGTCAACTCCTGCTTTTCTGGTGATGGCTCCCAAATCAAGATCTCCAGCCCTAACCTCCGGTGAGCCCAGGATGGCTTATGAACTGCAAACAGATGTTTCCTCTCGGGCGTGCCGCTGCGCTTGTCCCGTCCTTGTCCTCACTGTGCTCAGGTGCTGCTCACCACCTTGCTCCCAGCCCTGCTCCGGGTATCGCATCTGCCCAGGCATCCAAGTAAGAGTCTCCTGACTCTGGCAACCCCCAGACTCGACCCTGACTAAGCCCTGCCGATATGTCCCCCTTTAAACGGAACTTGAGGATGTGCTTCACCGTTCCCAACCCTCATCGTTACCCCACTGTCCCCTTAAGGCAGGCATTCTCGACACAAGTCAGGGACACAGAAGGCACGCAATCTGTGACTGCTTAATTGAACTGTGTGGACTTTTATAGAAACCTCTGCGTAGAAGGCATCACTACATTGGAAGATGTTCAAAGGAAATGACCATGAATCCCTCCTTCTTGGATACCTTTTCCTGTGCCCTTTCATGCTTCTGGGTCTCTGGACAATCTACTCCTCCCTGGGCACCCTCTCCCTCCCTTGCCAAGATATTTCTTTCTCGTCTTTAAGATTCAATTCTTAAGTACTGGCCTCCCCCTCCCCCCTACCCAGGAGCACCTCCTCTATGGTCCCAGAGTGCCCTGGGGCATTATTCTGGCCTCTCCCATGGGAACTGTCCCCCCGCCCCCCATAGTAGATATGAATGACCACTGAGCAGGGCTGTGTTCTGTTCATCTCTGGTTCCAGCACAGGGCCTGGCAGAGAGGAGACCTCAGAGGAAAACCGCCCAGTGGCTGCACAACTGGAGACTTGTGAGAGGAAGCATGGGCGTACGGCCTGGGGTCCCAGCAGATGTGCCCCGCCGCCAGCCTGACACGAGTTCTGGACGTCGGCTCTGAGGGTGCACAGTGTTAAGGCCGTTCACCCGGAGGCTCCCGAGTCACTAACAGCTGCCTGCATAGCGGGCACTGATCCCACATTCCCTCTGGACCTCTGACTTTTCCTTCTCCCCACCTATCACCCAGCAGGAACAACAAAACTATGCTCATAGAAAACTCCACATGCCTCGGATGGCACATCTTCTAAATGTGGGCATCCGAGGCTGCTGCTCTGCCCCCCTGACATTCCATCAGGAGCCTTCGATGCCCACCCTCCCGCCCCCCCGCCCCCCCACGTGTTGCCCTGGAGGTGATTCAGTTCCCCCTGGAGAGTCACAGCCGGAGCCAGGGCCCAGTGGACTCACCCTCCATCAAAGGGGTTCTCCCCGGGGATGATGTGTGTACTGTCCCTGCCCACAAGGAACTTGATGCGGTCGTAGAAGGAGTGCAGGTTCTGCTGGGACACAGGCGCCTGTGTCTCCTGGATGATGTCCAGTGGGTCCGGGGAGCCCAGGCACAGTGGGTTGACATGACAGAGAGGCTGGAGGCAGCAGTCGGGGTCCATGCAGTCCACCAAGCCATCTGCAGGGGGACAGAGCATGAGGGTTACGTCACTGTGTTCAGTCAGCCACGTGTGTCCACAACACCTTCATCCGCTTCTGCATTTTCCACTCACTGAAAAACGTTATTTAGTGCCTGATGTAAACCATGGCCTTTGCCGGGCACCGAGGCGATCCAGGTGCTTCAGATCTGATCCCAACCCACTAACTAGTCTTGTAGGAGAGACAGACAAGTTCGTGTACTGTGCACATGTGCTCCATTTTTTCCCCCCAAAGATGGAGAGGTAAGGGAACACATTGAACACTGAAGTTGCTAAATTCAGAGGATGAACTCAGAAGGGGGTGGGGGAAGAGGGTGAGACTGCAGAGGCCGGCAGGGACACGCTGTGGGCCTGGGAGGGTGCCGGTTAGAAGGTACACATTTTACCCCAGGGACACTGGGAGCCACTGAGAGCCACTGAGAGCCACTGAAAAGTCTTAAGCAGGGCGTGGAAGCTGGGTGCTGCACGGGAGTGGGTGCTGAGGTGGCACAGGTACACATAATGGCTGCTGAGACCAGAGTACTAACAGTGGGGATGGAGAGGGGCGGGTGGTTTTGAGACATTCAGGAGGTAAAAACATGCAGTAAGACTTGGGGATTGGCAGGCTTTGGGGAACGAGGAAGAGGCATCTCTCCCAGCTGCAAGCCAAGTGTGTGCAGACGGGCTCCGCCCTCTGTGGGAGGGGCCTTCCGGGTTTACTAGATGTTTCTAGTCTCTGGCTGAGTTGCCATGAGCAGAGAATTCTCTCTACCACATGGATGAATTTCTTCAGGACTGAAATTTATACTACACGGTGCAGCTTCCCCAAGTTCAAACAAAGACATTCCATTAGACCGCAGATTTTTGCTTACATGATCCTAAAGTATTTTTAAAGCACACAATAGATAACTTAAAATGGATAACAAACCCAGGGATTAGAGGATGCTGTCCTAAGTGAGTATAGAAAAGCCCACACAGTCTGTGGCTTTGTCGGCAGAGAACAGTCTAAGGACCCACGTTCTTGGGGGTTGGGGGGGGGGGAGGATCAGATTCTGTCTATCTTGCTTATTAGCTTGTGGCTTTGGGCAAACTTCCCCCCCACCCCGGGGGCATAGATCCTGTTCTGGTTATCTCTGTTGTATCCTCAGCACTTAGGATAGGTGCTTAAAACATGACTGTTAAATAGATAAACGAATGAAAATGGAATGAATTAACACATGAATCAGGAAATGAAACCAAATGATAACATCAAACCGTAGAAGCCAGAACAGCATTCTCTTCATTCTAGTTATTAAACAGTGTTATGTGGTGAGAGGATCGACGAGGCTCAGACACTGAGTTCAAGCTCCAGATTGAGTTTCTGTGCTTACTGGAGCCCATCTCATCACCGACATGCCCTCACGTCTGTCTGTGGGTCTGCTGCCCACCAGAGCACCACCGCATATGCACTGGCTAGACTGGGTGCCCACCCACAAGGCAGCACCCCTACGCCTCCTTACTCGCCTCAGGGTGTCATGGCCTCAGGCGAGCTACTTGATTTCCCTGAAACCCAGTTTTCTTTTTTTCTCTTAATAAACTAGGGACAAACATCCCTTACATTTCTTGCTCGCTTCTGCATGGTATCCAAGCCCGTATACCTTCCCTGAGGGCAGCACAGAGGTAAAGGGCATGGATTCCCGAGCCAGGCTGACTGGAGGCAAATCCTGGCTCTGAAACTACTGCTGTGTGACCATGGGCGCGTCACTCAAACTCTCTGGCTTCCGTTTCTCACCTCCCTTACAAGGGGATTATAAGAGTGTCACATAAGTATCTGTTACATAAATAAATACTCCCTCAAGTCTAGCAGAGTACCTGGCACACAGCAAGTACTGAATAAGGGGTGGCTCCCCGTCCTGACCCTGAGCCTAAATCAGGTTCACTGAAGTGAAGGGCCATTTGCCTTTTTGTGTGCTCACCTGCCAGATTCATTCTGAGAGGTGGACAGGCCCCTGGTCACCCAGCACTGTCCTGGGTCCTGGCTTGTGACTCCTGTCCCAGTTCCCAGACATGCCGACTAACTGCCTAGCAAAGCACCTGTCTCCTGCAGTCGGCGGGCTCCGTCATGCTTTCTCGACCGCCCTGTCAGACATTGCTTAAACACGTAATTAAAGCCGGAGCTGAGGGTCATTTGCATCCTGCTATTGACGTTAGCATGGCAGATTCACCGCCACATCCGTAACTCGGCAGAAATGCTCCATATTCAATCTCGGCGAGCAGGGACGCTGACCGTTACATCGGCTAGCACAATTGAAGGGCCGTGAGAAGTCCTGGCTAATTTGAAATTTTATGAGCTCTTGCCTCCTCTTGTTGACCACAGAGCCGTCCCTGGAAGGCAGTCTGTTGTCTCTTTAGAAACGCTCTGCTCTGTGGCACCTTGGAAGAAGGTTTGCCAGGAATTACTGTTACTGTTACTAAAACTTTCGATGTGAGCCTGATGGTGACGACGGTGATGATCATCACAGCTGCCGCCCCCTCGGCGATCGGCACTGTGCTAAATGCTGTACGAGGAGCGTTTTCGGGGACAGTGTCACGGAGTCTTCCCAGCTCTGCAGAGTAGCCACGCCTGCCCTCATCACCCTCACGGGGTAAAGTAACCGGGTCAAGGTCTCATAGTCGGTGAAGAAGCTGACTCAGAAATCTGAACTCAGGTCTCTGTGAGGCAGGAGAGGGTTGAGTCCTGAAGAGAGTTTTAGGGACTACTGCTTAAAGGGGAAGCCCGGTTTCTGAGTCCTGCTGGAACACCTCGCCCCTGCACTCCCAGCCACACTCGTCTCCCACTCTGTCATTGTGAGCTTCTCGGTCTCCCTCCGAGACAACGTGCTCCTGGAGATCGGGGCTGTCACTCATTCCAGGACCCCAGGGTCTACTGCTCTAGCTTTCACCTTCATCCTTGCCTCTGGAATATGGGACACCCCCACATCCCTGCCTTTTCCCTTTTAAAAACAAATTCAGCAGTGAGTTTTACAAACACATGGTTTCTTTGTGACGATCTAGCTGGCCATCCTGCTGGGATCAGAAATCTCAGCAAGGGCTTTGAGCTGCAGTTGGCCCATCTACAAAGTGAATAATCAGACTGACCTCACGGAGACACTGGGAGGATCAGGTGAGATCATGGATGCGGAGCACTTAGCATGATGACCGGCACCTTACTGCTTGATAACAATAGTTACTACTAGCTCCTGGCCCGGTGCCTCCCTTAACAGGCACCCTGATAACAGACCTGCGTTCGGCCCTTGGTGGCCCCTCCCTGGGCATACATTTCCAGGCAGCCTTTGGATGCAGCCTGGCCTGGGAGGGCTGGATTAGATCCACATGGCCATGGCAACATGCCTGTGAGTGAGGACGGGGGAGAACTCAGGGGACTGGAAAAGCGGGGTTCTCCGAAAGGGAGATGCCACGCAAACAGTGCCCTTACGCCAGATCCTGGGACTGGGATTGTTCACTGTGCTGTGCAGGCCAGTGGTTGAGGTCAGGCCCAGGGTTCTGCTGCCTGTACCTTCCTATGTGGTCACACTCCCCAGTCATTCAGTCGGCAAATACCTGCTAAGGAGTGAATGTGGGCAAAACCTCTGCTAATTGAGACTACTGTATTTAAATGAAACATGCACGTATTTTAAAAACTTGGAGGGCCCATACAGTTGTCAGCAAAGGCTCGGTGTACAAGGCCAGCTTCCAGGCGAACCCCTCTCTGTAGTGTCACACAGCACGTGGCAGCCTGAACCAGGGCACACGGCCCCTCTGCAGCAATAGAGAACCTTCCAGTTCCATTTTCTTAGGCACAGGTGGCACTTTTAGAAGAGTCACGTTGAAAGGGAAAAGTGTGCTTTGGGGACAGAAAAATAAATTTGGGGGTAGACTAGAAATACATCAATACACAGTTTTCGAGAGTCTCCGGTTTGGCCAGTCTGGAAACAGTCACCTTCCGTAAGCACTTCGTACTCATTGATTGCACATGACACACAAGTCGGTTGATTATCTGACCTCCATGTTTCATGTGCTTGCTGCTCCCTTTCCGAGGCCTCATTGTAACGCCAGAAAAACATCGAACAAAAAACAAAGCGAAAAACACCAAAAAGCTCAACACCACCAATAGGAAAAGAGAGAGGATGTTCCTCTCTGTCCTTAAAGTCTTCAATAAAATCCTCCTAAACCCTGAACCCTGACTTTGGGAAAAGAACCTGTTGCCCCCAGAAGGGTTCCCTTCCTCGCGGTTCTGAAGGCCTCCTCCTGTCCTTACTGGTGAAAGTGGAGAGGACAGAAGAAAATGTCAGGGCTCCCTGGGGCTGGGAGTGGCGAGCAACCCTGTCCAGCATCGGATTCTGGCGGGAGGGGAGGGCTCAGGGAAGGGGGATGGAAATGGCCAGGAAAAAGGCAGAATGGAAATGAAAAGAAAAGGTAAAAGGAAGGAAGAAAGAAAGAAGAAAAGAAAAAAGAGGGAGGAAAAACAGAAAGAAAACAAGGGGTTAGTTTTCCGGGGCACTAGATGCACATTCCAAAGTGGATCATGTACCTGTGAGCCTTGAACTTGAAGACGCCCTCCCTGTGCTGAAATGCTGCACGGTGCCTTGGTTTTTGCTAACATTTCCATCGAGGTGCTATCAACTTGAGGACGAGGGCTATGCCATTTCCTCCTGCATCTCTCCTCAGTGCCTACCCTGCTGGTGGGCGTCAAATGACCTTGAGAAGCAGAGGCAAGAGTATGTGGCAGAGTAGCACCCAGGCCAGAAGTCTGAGGATCCGTGTCCTTCCACGGGCCTGCACTCTCCAGCTGCGATACCTAGGGCGTGTCCCTTCGCATGTGTGACATGTCATTTATTCAGGCAAAACTGACATGATAAGCTCTGCCAACCTCTCCGGGATGCTGAAAGGTTCCTACGTGGTGAAGTGTGAGTCATTCAACGTGAGACATTTTGGTGTCCTTCCCATGCCTTTGGCTGTCCCCACAGTCCCTCTGCAGACAGGC